ATATATTCCTTTATGGAAGGCAGAAACTGACCACTTCCTCATCTAAAGGACAGCATGGGAATGAAATATCAATCATTTAAAATGCTTTCCATTTGTTGGCTATTACGTTATCGTCACAAGGTTTATACCACCAAAATATTCTACATTTCTTTGATATCTGCCTTATATTTACCTGATATTTGTTTTTATAATTTAAAATATTCGTATGTAAATAACTCTCTGGTAACCACATTTTCTTTTTGTAGATGTGGTATATTGGCTCTAATCCACCCAAAGAGATTTGATTCTGATGCTGACCAGGAAATAAGGCCCCATGTGGCATTCTGTCCGTATTGCTCTGACATATCCCTTACCGTGTCCTCCTGTCATGAGTGCTTTAAATGCTGTCCCCCAGCGGCACCGTGAGCTCAGGTAAAAAACTCATGGGATTTTTTTGGGGGGCGGGGGGAGGGAGACTTTCAACATCATCTAGATTTTGTTTGGAAACAAAGACAGAAATCTCTCCTATGGCACACATGTGTCATAACTTGAACATAAAAATAAAATAATACAACAATATATATTATATACAATATATACAATATATAATAATACAAAATCTAATATTTATTGAGCATTTACCTTCTATGAGACCTATGCTAAGCACTATCAATGTAACATTATTTAGTATAATATTTTAGTTAATTAATTACCTATAACATGGAAAATAAGGATTTACACAGAACATTTCAGGAAGCTGAACTGTAACCTGATCCTAGCATCATATAAGCAGAAACCAGCACTAGCCGTTGCCCTATTTAACAGATAATAACAAAAGGTGATAAAGATGATACGAAGTGCTAATTACATTGTTTTAATTGGGTTAGGAAAAGGAAAGGTTATCTTTTGAATAAAAACTAGATGTAAAAAATGGTGGATCTGCTTAGTGATTGGGGTTTTATAGCTAAAACTTTAAAGCTGTTATGGGAAAAAAGTTCTTGCAGAAAAATAAACAGCACAAATTCTTCATCTCCAAATTGTTTCATTCCCACTGAAATAAATGTTAAATAGTATTTTTCATAACCTGACATTTATTAGGGATGCAATTATCCTATCACAGCGGATCTAACTCTGGATTTTTATAAAGCTCTATTTTAAAATTCCGTCCTCCTCTTGCTCTCCTCTGATGAACTCTTAAGGTCTTCGCTGGTAAGACCCTGTTTCCCTCATAGCTTCAAATGCAACTCAGCAAAGAGCCACACAGGAGCTCTAGGAATGAATGAGGTATTGATAAAGTAGGGGAAAAAAATTCCATTAAATCTAAAGTGTTTTAATGGTTTATTGCTAAAACTATAAACCGAGGGACTGAAGTGTCATTAATATTTAAGCACCCCTGAAATAATCCTAGTTGCTACCATGGCAGAATGCATCAACGTGACTGGTGTTTGGGATGTGCAGCCTCAAATGCTCTTAGCTTTCTTCATGGTGATTTTGTGTGACTCCCTATCAGGTGAATAAAACTGCAATTTAAGAGCTTCTGGCTCCTGTAACCAAGATGCACCCAAAAGAACCCTCCATCAGGAAAAAAAAAAAATGAACTAAATACTCTTCAAAGCCCTTCAGAGCTTGCTGCCTAAGAGAGACGGCTGAGATCAGCTGTCATGCAACGTAAAGACTATAGTATACTGCCTTGCAAAAGACCGACGCTATGTGATTATCTGAGATGGAAAAATTCCTAAGGAGAAACAAAGTTCCACTAAGTAATCTCTGTGCCTTCGATGATGGAAAACCTCTTACAGCCAAAGCACTATCACTTCCTAGGTATGAAGCTAATGAACTCACTGCAAATCAAAGTACAATATTCTAGGAAGCTCAGTCTAGCAGGTAGCTGGGGGGAAAAAAAATATATAATGAAAGCTACTCTGAAAAACTAGCTCTTAAAAGCCATTCGCAGTATGTAAAACAGGGTTTTAGTTCGTACCGGAGTTAGCCAAACTAGAAAGTCTGAGAGCAGAGTCTCCAAGACTGTCCTCACTTTGACATCACCTTCAAGTTCAAGGGGTTCCCCAACCCACTCTAAACTTTGATAATTTGCTAAAAGGACTCACAGAACTCACAGAGAGCTATTGAACTCAGCTGTAACTTATTATGGAAAATGACACAGAGAATCAGCCAAAGGAAGAGACACATAGGACAGAGTATAGGAGGGTTCCAAATGCCGTTTCCACTGTCCTCAGGACATGCTATGCTCCTTGTATTGGTGTGTGACAATATGCATAGAGTATTATCGACCAGAGAAGCTCACCCCACGCTCAGTGTCCAGTTTCATCTGGGCCTCATTACAGAGGCTTGCTTACTTAATTGCCCACGTGGTTGAATTCAGTCTCCAGCCCCACTCCTCCAAAGGCTGGGTTGATACTATAGGGCCCAAGGGGCCCATCTTGTCTAATAAGATATTTTTATCACCTGGGAACTTCCAAGGGTTTAGAGGTCACCTCCTAGGAGCTGGGTACAAAGGCCAGATTTCTTTTTGGGAAAGGCCAAATTCTTTTACTACATCGAAGAAGAGTAGGATCTAAAAAAGAATACTATCTTATAAAGATAACAGAGATAATACCGCTGAGGCTCTTCTTAAAACTAACTGTAACCCATAAGTCCATGTTATCTTGGAGAAGGTAAGCCATCATCACATTTATTTTTATGCTCATTCTCCAGCAGGCTAGCCCTGGCTAAATGTCATGGCAGCTGGGCATGTTTTCAGATGACAGGTTCTTCTCAGCCAAAACCAGATTTACCTCTTTCTGTAAAATCTAGCTTCCATCAGTTTTCAAATCTGCTAAACTCTCCTTTGCCCCTTCTATCCAAATGTTATGGATTGAATTGTGTCTCCCCCCACCCTGCCTCCAAATCATATGTTTAAGTCCTAATGCATGGCACTTTAGAAAGTATATTTGGACACAGGATTTTTAAAGAGGTAATTAAGTTAAAATGAAGTCATTAATTAAGGTGGGCCCTAATCCAATGTGATTTATAAGAGGGGGCAATCAGGACACAGATGCAGAGAGGGAATACCACGTGAAGACACAGGGAGAAAACAGACATCTGCAAGCCACGGAGAGAGGACTCAGAAGAAACCAACTCTGCTGACGCCTTCGTCTCGAACTTCCAGCCCCCGGAATTGTGAGAACATAAACTTCTATTGTTTAAGCCACTCGGTCTGTGGTACTTTGTTACGGCAGCGCTAGCAGACTCTCCAATCACTAATTCATGTCTTTCTCTGCTCTTTCACTTACAGGGACCTGTCATCTAGTACTTCTGGTTCTTGTTTCTCATGCTTCCGATCAAACCTCACATCTACTGTCAGGTTAATATTCCTAAAGAAGCACGGAAATCGGGGTACTTCCCCAGTCAAATACCTTCCAAAGACGTCTTGCTAAATGAAGCCCAACCTCTTAGCCAAACAACTAACGAATGACCCTGCCGACACTTTCAACTTGATCTTGCACTGATCTCCCTGAATCAAACCACTGATCTTAACTAATTTGTCGCCCACTAACTGCAGAGCAGGATTTTTCTTCTGAATAACTTCCCTTTCCATCAATACTCTTCTTCAAGCCTCATCTAAAATATCTTCTTTTTAATTACTTCATAGATCACTCTAGTCCAAACTGATCTCCTTTAATTTACCTCAAATTTTAGTTATTTGTATAGCTATTATCTTACAATGAGGAAGAATACCCAGGGTGGCAAGTCAAAGATTCTCACAGTATAGAGACAAAAAGGTTAAAAAAAAAAAATGTTGCTTTATCATCAGGGGAAAGATAAAAACCATAAAAATACATGTGTAGAGTACCTTTTAAAATCAAGTCTACATCCAATTCTATACCTGAATTCTTAAGATAGCACATTACACACTTTAAGTGAGATTTGTGCCCCATTCTTAGGCCTCTCTCTGCTGCCCCTAAAGGGATAACTCACTACTGAAGACTGGAGCTTTTTGTCTGTTTAAACACACCTCAAACCTTCTTTAAAAAATAGGAAACGAAACGTTTTTTCGATCAATATTAAAATAACACTCATATCCATTACCACAAAAATTGCACTATAGCAGAAAGTAACAACGTTTACCTTAGGGTTTAATCATTTTATCAAACGCTCATAAACGCGCACAAGGAAGGAGGTCAGAACCCAATGCAATCTCTCAACGAAATCTGTCACAACACCTTACTTTGCTTTGCTAATTTACATATGTGCTACTCACAGAGGTTACACAATAGAACTATTTATACACTCAGGAAAATTCTGAATGATGTCTTCTTACCTAATGTGAGAACTGGCAGCAAAAGGAAAGTCCAAGGCTATGGGTCATGGACACTCTGGTCCATCAATTACGGCACATTCATTTAAACACTTCAAGGATTAACAGAGGTGGCAATTTAACAACCCCTTCATAATCAAGGGTAAGGTAAAGTCTGCGATTTAAATGCTTTCCAGGCACATGTGAAGAAATGAACACGAGAAAAGAGGATACCCCAATTTGGACATGCCCATTATTTTATTATATAAAAGTGAACGGCTTCTACGTTTCTATTAACAGAGGTAGCAATTTAACATCCCCTTCCTAAACAAGGGTATCTGATCTTATATATTTTTCCAAAAGAAAATTCTATTACTATTGCTTTCAATTTCCCCTTAGTTCATAAAATCGAGTTGTAACAAGCTTTGGACAAATACCTTTTCCTTGCATTTGAATCCTACTATGGCAGAGAACATGGATCCATCTCAATCACGAAAACACACTTCCAAGTATTCCAAAGGGCTGCATAACAAACTCTCTTCTTCCGAGAAGAGTAAATAATTATTACTATAGAAAAACTTACTTGAACTTTGCTTCCACCTCTTCAGCAGCTTTCTGATATTGTTCAGTGGTGACTTTGTAGAACTCTGAGCTCTGTGGATAAAGATAGCAGAGTTTTCACTTTCCCAGAGGACAAAACGTGTACAAGATGTACGACAGAAAATACATAAGATCTTGTCTCACCCCCTCAAGCAGTAGAAGATTTCTAGCATACATGGTATGGGTATTTATAAAAACACATGTACAGGTATCCACTTAAATAACAGTACAGTTGTTGGTATACAAGTTGTAATTACAGGGTAAACTTTCATCATTATTTGATCCTTTTGAGAAAATTCCTAACATTTCTGAAGGATTATTTAGATCCCCCTTATTTGGAAATCTACCACTATACGATCAAAGGTTGCTGGAAATCAAATAATGAAATTCACACGTATCACATGTGCCTACTGTTCTCGTGTTCTACCTAGGATGCTAAAGGATCACTTCCTTTTACACTGTATTTTTACCTTCGAGATGGATTCCTTATGGAGTAGAAGGTATTCAGTCACCTCTGCATGACCACAGAAGTATCAACATTTATAAGAAATTAATAAGTAAGAACAAGGGAGTGGATTTTTGTAATTTTTACACAAGAAAACATTTCCACTGTTACAGAATGTACACATAAGCAACATAAATCAAGTCGTAATAGCAAAATAATGCCTTTCCTAGTGCAGCAAAATTAAAAATAATCTATTCTGGCTGGCCACTTTGAAACCTCTTACTGCAAGGGGCGGCCTCAATGACCCCATGAGCCTTCAAACTCAATGAAATATCCTGCCAAATGCACCACAGCACAAAAGACAAAAACACAATACAGTGGTCTATTGTGCACCTTCATTCTCTAATCACTCAGGTTTCACATGCGTGACTTGGGGTAGTTTATTTTTTCATAAATCATTGTTGGTTGGTGAGAAAATGAAAATGAAATCCTCTTCACACCAGTGACCTCTTTGCATTTAACAATCTGGGTTGTCCAATGACAGTCACATCCAGGTTTGTTGGATGTAGATAAAATCAATAGGTATGTGATTAGACAGCCGACTCAGGGTGGCTGGAGCAATGGACAGGTCACCATTTGAGATGATGAATGGCTCTCTATCAACCTAGAGTCCCCTACGATGCTAACATTTACTATAATCTTATTTGGGCTGCGATTTATCTTTCTTGCACCTGATCAATAAAGATGAACAGAACAGTTGTAAGGATCGATTGTAATTTTTTATCATTTTCAAGTACAAAAGTGCATTTCTGACATGAAGACAATATTCTTAGCGTACTGCTTCTGCATTTTTGAAAACTGCACTTTGAGCGATCAGCTGCACTAGTCAAATACTGAGAAGTTTTAATTCTTCAGTAGGTCTTGAGCTATCAAAAAGCCATTTGTCTCCTCAGCTATTTTAACGTTAGGCTGTGTCACACCTTCCTATCAGTTTAACTTTAAAATTTTTCCTTTCCTTTAAAATACACACCAGCCGGGCACGACATACTCTTTCGCAATGTTTGGTTTAAGGTTTTCTTTGAACCCTTCTAACAAAGAGGGCAGTAAAAAGGCACTTACTAATCTACCACTAACACTAATGAGAAACTCCCCACATTATTATGATGAACTGTCAAGTGAGCATTATGTTCCTGAATTATCTATTAAAATGCTGGCAAAGCAGTAATGTCTTGATTAATACTTTCAATTATTTTAAGCATTGCAACTGTCACGTCCGGAAAGAGCCAGCACTAGGTTGAAGGGTCTGGTTTCTGGTTCTGTTCTGTGACCTTGAGCAGGTCCTCCATCCTCCCCCCGCTCTCCTTCCAGTGTTCCTAACCCGTAAAATATGGGATGATGATACTAGACCTGCTTAGATCTGCCAAAGCTGTCACAGAAATCAAATAAAATAGGCAAGAGAGCTGTGAGACCTGTTAAACGTTTTCGCAGAGTAAGATCAACATCCAAATGGAACAATTTTAAAGGAACGAACTAATTTAGGCAATTGCATTCTGGGTACAAACTCAAAATGATCAGAAGCAAATATTAAGCTTTTTAACAAGAATGATTCACAAAGGCAAGGGTTCTGCTGTCATATAAATTAGTGAGCTCCCTCTGCTGTGTAATGCCGAAGGCAGGTGACAACGTGACTGATTTTGTCAAACTTTTGCCTGGGATGTTAAACACACACACACACAAATACCCGTACCTGTGTTGCAAACTCAGCATATAATTTCTCTAATTAAAGTTTTAGGCTTAATTTACGTTCCATGTGTCCACCTCGGTGGCCAGTTGCCCACATTGCATAAATCTTTCTAACAAAGCAAAGTCCTCAGGAGGCAACACCATGTAACTGAGGGAATAATCGCAAATACATCCAAGATCTGAATAGAGACAAAGTTTAATTCATTCGAATATTTACTTATTCATTCAACAAAATGAAATTCTTATTACGCCAGCGAAGTTCATCTTGGGGAATTAATCCTCAAGAAGCTTCCCATCTAATACAAAAGAAAAAAAAATAGGTATAACGAAAGGGCACAAATGCTAAATTAAAAGTTGTGGACAGTGTTACTGGAATTCAGAAAGCGTAGAGATCTCTTTTGGTCTCATAAAATACTTTTAAAAATGAACAACCATTAAGAAAAAAATGGAAAAAAAAAAAGGATTTTGTTGAATGAATAAGTAAATACTTAATGGATTAAATTCTGTCTACAAAAACACATTCAATATGCTTGCCAGGAGAATGGATAAATACTAAGTATTCATACAGTGGGAATCTTTACAGTGGCGAAAGAGAATGAATTAGACATACATAAGGGGCAATAAAAAGTTGTAGATATGATCTGGAGCAGTGCAATTTATGTTGAATTTGGAAAAGTGCAAAATAATGAAATACGATTAGCAAACAGCAAACTCCACTGAATATCTCCAAGTGGTGACAGTTTGGTGGTGGTGGCAGGGGACAAAAGGAGACGAAGGCCACTGGAAGGAATTCACTGTAGTGTTCTATTTCTTAAAATGAGGTGTTCTGAAAATGAGATGCGCACATTTATGCATGGCCATATTTATATACATAAGTATATATAATCTACATATAATTTCAGAATGAGGTGTTCTGAAAATGAGATTTATTACCCTGGTTGTAAATATTTTGTGATATATACAAAAACTGTATTCCTCCCCCGCCCCCCAAAAGAAGCTAATTAAAAACAGCAAATGATTGAGTGTGGCTAGAACATGGAAGCATGTGTGGAGGGTACATGCTGAATTGGCTAAGTCAAGATGTTGTACATATTCTTGAATGCTAAGCTCTTGCAGAATGTCCACACGTTACTAAATAAAAGTATTCTTTTTTCAATTTCGTATTGTAAAATAAATTTAGACTTGTGAAATGATTTTAGATTTATAGAAAAAAGACAAAAATAGTAGGGGGTTCCTATATATCCTTCACCATCTTTCCCTTCATGTCAACGTCTTAGATAATCGTAGTACGATGACCAAAACTAACAAGTTAACAATGCTACAATACTAGTTACCAGCAGTAAATAAATTACAGACATTTGATTTCTTCAGTTTTTCCACTAATGTCCTTTGTCTATTCAGGGATTGGATCCCGGATCCCACATTACATTTCGTCATCCTGGCTCCTCTAATCTGGATAAGCTCAGTCTTTCCTTGTCTTTTATGACCTTGACGCTCCTAGAGAACTCTGGTCAGATATTCTGTAGAGTGACTTGAGATGTGGGCTTGTCTGATGTTTCCTCATGATTAGATTGACGTTATCTGCCATTATTGGGTCGAAAACTGCACAAGCGACGTGCCGTCCACCAAACTGGACTCCAAACTGCCCCCAACTCCGGCTTCACACACTGTCCACCAACACCGCGGTGTTCCCACACTGACCAGGCACTCAGAGTTAGTAGAAATGCCACACTTTTTGGAAAGGTGGCTTTGGTTATTGGCGTTTATTAATTATAAACTAGTTACTTTACTTTCATCATTATAACTAAGTTTGCTCTTATTTAATCAACCCTACAGTTTGTAGTAGTACACATTTACATCAGCTGTACTTTTGTCTGATCGTTTTCTAATGGCCAGATTTAAGACCTGCGTGGTCTGCACTTCAAATAAGTAACATCCACACTCCTATTCCCCCAAAAGACAGAGATTATATATACTTATGTATATAAATATAGCCATACATAAAACGATGAGATATATACCCCTCCAGACTTTGTTGATAGGCTACTGTGTAGGATGTGGAAGAAACAACCTTGTCAGATAATCTTAAAAAGAGAATAACAACAATAACAAACAGGTGGAGAAAGATGCCCGTGATATCTCACAGGCTGGACTTTCAATAAATGATCACGCTTTATGTATGGTCACATTGTTTCTAAATCTGTAAGGTCCTTTAAAACATACAATTTAAAAATATCTTCATTCATATTCATTCTGCATAGGGTCTTACTGCAGCAACATCAGGTAAGATACTTGACATGATTCGTCCAGTTAGGTAGTATGGATTTGTGGCAGGGTAAATGTTATTTAAATCAAATATTAAAAGTTTAATTTATTATTTTCTTCCTTTAAAACATAAATTTTTGTTTTAAGCGTCAGACAAGTTTTCCGCCAAGATTTTCTTTGAAAAGGTAGATCTTGTAAATTCAAAGTTGAATGATAATATCTCTTAGACAGTTTAGCACTATCAAAAATCTAATAAAGGCTTGTCTTTTTCTTTGTCAAAGACAGTAAAACAGGAGTTGCTATGAGGTGAACTGTCTCCAAAATAACAACATAATTCTAGATCTGGGAGATGTGTCTGTCACCATTGGAAATAATAGTCATTTCCATTTTCTATATTAAAATAGGTTCCAATCTAAGGCACTAGGGACCATTTACTAAAAACACAGGCAACAAACCCAGTTGGAGAGACTGAATGCTCCACTGTACACAATTTAAAACATGCACACGCTGTCCACAGCCCTCCGTCTGCATTCACGTGAGTGAGTCTTAGTGGAACAGGTGGTGGTGAAGAGCATGCACTTGGAAGCCAGACTGCCAAACG